CCTTCTCCTCTCCAGGTGAACACTTCGGTTCCCTCAGCCTTTCCTTACAGAAGGGCTGCTCCAGCCTTTGGATCATCTTTGTGGCCTCTTTGAAGCAGAGCTCCTCTTACCTGACAAACATGGAAAATATCTGCAGTGTGTGTGGATAAATGTGTGTGAGCCTTCCTTTACTGAATGCTTTGGGTTTCCTTGGGCTGAACTTTCAAATCTCAATAGCCCTTCAGATGTGACCTTTGATAGCAAAGAATGGTGATAAAGGTGGAGGGAAGGTGCAGTCCAGAAGCAATGGTTGTTTAATCACATTAATGGCAGCAGCCTACGCTGATTAGAAATTGTACTAAAAGACCTTCTTTGGTCCAGGAATGTTGTTCATTACCTGTTTACAGCCATCAGAAAAGAAGGTAGTATTCCAGGAGTTGGGCTGGTGAAGGGAGAGGGTTGAACCCATGTGTGGTGGGACTTCTCTACAGAGAGAAGGGAGGTTCTGGCAGAATAAAGTTAAATAAATTCCAGGTGTCAGGGTCATTTGTAGGAAGAGAACTTTGCCTTTTTGTCCCTCTTTCATGAGGTGTCTCTCACTACCCACTTCTGATTTTTACTTGCTTACATTCATTAAATGCAGCAACTTGGGATTCTTCTCCTCAGCCTTTTGTTCATTTCTGCTTTCATTTGTTTCAGGATTTTTTTGCTCTTGGCTAATTAGGATTTTTTTACAGCTTTTTAAGTTTTATTTACACATTTCCTTTATTTATTTGCTTTGCAAACAGTCTTAACTTGCTTGCAGTGATTTGTAATTTCTGTTCTCAGAGAAGACCATTAAACATGAGGCATTTTTGTGGGATAACAGGGCCAGGAGTGGGATGCTGGGCTCCGTCCATGTGCAGAAATGTCTCCTCACTGCTCTCACACCAACACATCCTGATGATGCAGTTAATGACTCTGGGTGTGATGAATGGTGCCATAAAACTCTCTGCTGGGGGGAATTGCTTGACAGCACTGAAATTAAGGAATATGTTTTATTATCTAATGTCTGCCCGAATGTATAAAATAAAAAAATGAATAAAATGTGGGAAGGGGATAGGGAAAAGCACTGTTCTGTATTCATTATCCATGAATATTTATAGAGATGTTTTCAGTGAATAATTAATTTTGCAGACTTCTAATTCAGGTTTAATTCCTGCCTCGAACTGTTTGCCTCCCCATAATTGTTTTATTTTTGAACCATATTTTTATTTTTAACCTGTCAGGTGAGGTGCCAGAATCCAGGGGCATTCCAGGGTCTGTGTGTCCCCTGTGGCAGCTCCAGCCAGACATTCCCTGATTGCCTGAGGTTCGGTCTGGAGCAGGCTGGTGTGGATGTTGTGCTCCATGGGCTGTTCCTGCTTTCTCCCCATCTCTGACCTCTCTTCTCTCTCCTCTCCCTGCAGCTCTCGCTCCCAGAGGAGCAGAACGAAGTGACAAGGAATGGCTGTGAGTCCAAGGAGCTGGTGTACCTGGTGCAGATCTCCTGTCAGGTAAGTGTCCTGTTTTCTCTCCCCAGCCTGGCTTTCCTTCTATTTCCAACACAGCCCTGGAATGCTGGGATATGATGCTTCCTTCCCTGTGGTGTGTCTGGGGTTTTCCACCTCCTCCCTGGCTCAGTCCTCCAGGGATGCTGTGCTGTCACAGGAAAGGAGAAGTGCTGAGAGTGTGAAGCAAATAATCCTCACTGATGCCCAGGGAGGAGCCCAGAGACAGGAGTGGGTGTGCCCAGGCTGAGGTCACTTCAAGGGGAACACAGACACCTGGACACAGCAGTGATCCCAGCAGGGAGAATCCCAGCCAGAGGTTTGTTACCACAGTGTGCTGCCAGGAGTCTGGATCTGCTCCCAGACACCTGGCATGGAATTCTTATCTCAGGAGGCTTTGGGCAGAGGAATCTGCTGCTACGTCCCATGAATTCTTCATCTGCTCATAGGTGTGACTTTGTACAATGCTACCTAATGGGTCTGTTTTAATATGCTCAGTGAGTCACCCTTTGTGGGAGATGCAGGGCACTGGCAGCTTCAGTGCAGGTTAGTGCCTGTGTGGGGTTGTTTCCCTGGCTTTAGGACAGCTCTTTCCATGATTCACCTCAGCACCCCCTGAGCATCCGTCTCATCAGTGAGTACACACAGACAGGTGGTGAATTTGCAGGGTCCTTGCTCAGCTGTCTCAGCTCTGTGCTCAGAGTGGGGTGTTGTGAGAGCTGAGAACCAGAGCATCCCGAGGAACAGAGCATCCCGAGGAACAGAG